GTCACTTTTCGCAGTAATAGCAATCTGATTGGGCTCTCCAAGTTCTGGGAAAATGATTTTTTCAGTCTTATTGGTTCAGTTTCCGGGTGAAAATACTTCCCATTGAACTGATAACCAGTTTGCATTATACGAATCAAACGTATTTATAATGGTTTTCAGACGCAAAACTGCACTTATATATTCCATAACTTGAGTAATTCGATTCCGATTTTACCGTGGGATACCTCTATGAATTTGTGGTTGAATTCTCTTACAATCTGCATTCAAACTTTTCTCTTTAATGAGGGTCCCATTTTTAACCCATTTTCATGTTCGATTTTTATGTATTTCCAATGGTTTTCAGTATGGAAGCCCAAAAACTGCACTTCTCGATTCCATAAGTTTAGTAATTACATCCCGATTTTGACGTTGGATACCTCAATGATTTTGTGGTTGAATTCTCTTACAATCTGCATTCAAATTATTCGTTTAATTGAGGGTCCAAATTTTGACCCATTTTCATGTTTGATTTTTCCGTATTTCCAATGGTTTTTAGTATGGGAGCCCAGAAACTGCACTTTTATATTTCATAACTTGTGTAATTAGATTCCGATTTTGACGTGGGATACATCAATGAATTTGTGGTTGAATTCTCTTACAATCTGCATTCAAATTGTTCTTTTTAAAGTGGGTCCAAATTTTAACCCATTTTCATGTTTGATTTTTCCCTAATTCCAATGGTTTCCAATATGGGAGCCCAAAACTTGAGTATTTATATACCGATTTTGACATGGGATTCCTCTGTGAATTCGTGGTTGAATTCTCTTACAATCTGCATTCAAATTGTTCTTTTTAAAGTGGGTCCAAATTTTAACCCATTTTCATGTTTGATTTTTCCCTAATTCCAATGGTTTCCAATATGGGAGCCCAAAACTGCACTTCCAGATTCTATAACTTGAGTATATAGATTCAGATTTTGAAGTGGGATACCTCTATGAATTCGTGGTTGAATTCTCTTACAATCTGCATTCAAATTGTTCTTTTTAAAGTGGGTCCAAATTTTAACCCATTTTCATGTTTGATTTTTCCCTATTTCCAATGGTTTTCAGTATGGGAGCCCAAAACTGCACTTCCATTTTCCATAACTTGAGTAAATAGATTCCGATTTTGACGTGGGATACCTCTATGAATTTGTGGTTGAATTCTCTTATAATCTGCATTTAAATTATTCTTTTTAATTCTGGTTCAATTTTTAACCCATTTTCATGTTCGATTTTTCTGTATTTCCAATGGTTTTCAGTATGGAAGCCCAAAAACTGGACTTCTAGATTCCATAAGTTTAGTAATTACATTCAGATTTTGATGTGGGATACCTCTATGAATTTGTGGTTGAATTCTCTTACAATCTGCATTCAAATTGTTCTTTTTAAAGTGGGTCCAAATTTTAACCCATTTTCATGTTTGATTTTTCCCTATTTCCAATGGTTTTCAGTATGGGAGCCCAAAACTGCACTTCCATTTTCCATAACTTGAGTAAATAGATTCCGATTTTGACGTGGGATACCTCTATGAATTTGTGGTTGAATTCTCTTATAATCTGCATTTAAATTATTCTTTTTAATTCTGGTTCAATTTTTAACCCATTTTCATGTTCGATTTTTCTGTATTTCCAATGGTTTTCAGTATGGAAGCCCAAAAACTGGACTTCTAGATTCCATAACTTGAGTATTTAGATTCCGATTTTGACGTGGGATACTTCTGTGATTTTTTGGTTGAATTCTCGAATATTCTACATTCAAATTATACTTTTAAACGATTGCCACACTTTCAACTCATTTTTTCAAAAATTGTTCCCTGTGTAGGCTTATTCTTTGGCAAGGACCTTCGCAGACGGTAATTGAAATTCAGTGTTTGTGTCACGACACAAAACTTAAACAAAACAGGTCCTCGCCTGGCAAAAAGGCAGCGACGCGCCGAGTAGGCAGCCCACGAGAAGGACATTAAATTAAGTCTCCAGCCAGGAAGATCAAAGTTTTCCAACCGCACTGTTGCGCTGCCCCGACTCTTCACGTGTGTTTGTGGGAGTGTGTTTGCTTTACACGTGCTTAAGGAGCCCTTTGTTGCTGCAATAAAATGGTGAAAGGCAAAGCCAAAACAGTAAGTCGACATGCAAAAAGGATACACGTTGTAAAAAGCGCATAAACTTTGCCGAAAGTGACAAACAAAGAGGCCAACCCACCTATGTACACTGAAAAAAAGAAGGGGGAATTGGTTGGTGTAGGGCCAAACAAAAGGTAGGCGAAATTGAAGGCGACTTGATGGGCTGTAAATGGCAAACTTTTCTTTTCGGCTTTCCCGCCTCCACATTTTTTTCCCCACCCACACAGGTGCTAAAACTTTATCAGCATATGCGTGTGGCAAGGGAAACCACTCGAAAAGAGCCAAAGATAGGACGATTTCGGGATACGAAGCGTGCTGAAGTATCTATCCATTGTAGTCGCAACGTTGTGCCTTATCTTTGCATTTGAATTAGACCTGTGCTCATAAACAAACGAAATTGAATTTTCCCAAAACAGTTTTGCTCGGGTGGGGAAAACTGTTTTTGGTGCTTAGGCGGAGAATGGAAAATTTCCCACAAAGTTTATCCGTACATATATTTAACGTAATGGAATGGGCCTTCCTGTTATAGGAAAATAAGAAGAAAGACTGAGAAAAATTTAAGTCTAATGAAAGAACATCTAAAGTCAACAAGGTATGGTGCAAAGAAATATTACTTTAATATTAAATAGATTATATACTCCTTCTCGTTATTCTTGAATTGAATGGATTATGTAATTAAAGAAAACCTTTAAACACAGATAAGCTTTTATAGTTACACATTTAAGTATTTTTAGTTTATTCTACTATACACTTTTATTCCATATTATTTTACCCCCCTAATGGCATTTAGCCAGCAACTAAAAACTATCGTTATTTCTTTCAATTTCCTAGCAGCCAAGAAAGTTGGAAGCACTCTTAGAGGCCAAGCCTTTAAAGCCATGCCAAAAGTTTCGCCAATGTTCTTGGCTTGCTGACTGGGTGGAACATGTTTTGGCCGTGTAAATAGTTGAGGGTCATGCCAATGAGCTGGGGAATGCTGAGAGGATATTCTAGCCGCTACCCGCAGGATGCGTATCCTGTTTTGGCAGTCGACATCGAAGCAGCTTGTGTGCCTGCAGGATATTTCATTTCGCCGAGCCCAGCTCAGCTCGGCTCAGATCGACTCGGTTATGATTCAGTTGGGTTCGAGGTTTGGGTTTGTCTGGCTGTCTGCAGGGGCAAACACTTGACAAGGCAAAAATGCTGATTTTATTTTGTGTGCCACATTGTCACATGATAATCAGACCGATGTAGGCGATAATGTAAGAGCCTACACGCAACAAAAAGAACATCGGGATAGGACCAAGAGCCCTTGTAAGCAAGGGCTTAGTTAACGGAGAGAAGAAACAGGACAGCTTTTCCCTGTCCCCAGGCTGAATTCCCCACACAAGCGTAATTAGGAAGAACTACCTGCTGGTGTTAAGGTCTTGGATCCTAAGTCTTCTCGGGAAAAACTGCGCTGCAGAGGGTGAACTCCATTTGCATGTTGTGTCATCATATCCTTGTGACCCACTTGCTTAGTTGGCCAAAAGTATGTGGCACTGAGTTAAATTCAAAGACTTCCGGAAAACAGCAAACAACTCTGTAACTTTCACTGTTTTCAAAAGTTTATATAAAGCAGACTTAAGGAAAATAAATGAAAACTTAGATTCAGGAATAATAATAATTTAATGTAATTTATATATTAACACCTTATTTATTTCTCATTACTAACTTTACATACTTAAATTAATTACATACAAAAAGGGAGAAGCTGCAATGGGTCGAGTAATATTATGTTGTATGTATATTACTATATGACAATAATAATATTTCATATGAATTATAAAAATTTTAAGTTTCCAATTATTGAAATCATAAAATTCCAAAGAAAATAAATAAAAACATTTTAGCTCCACAAAGCTGCATTATGAGGGCTTTTAATTTTCAATTTTCCATCGAGTTACAGGAAAGTTGACTAACGAAAGGCTGATATAGGAAAACAGCCCGTAATCGAGAACAGGTGGTCACTGCAGTTGACACATCGATAAGCAGGTGTTAGCCTCGATGTGTTTAGCCGTTGTTATTCAATTTAATTTCGTCCTGCAAGCACCGGATCCTGTGAGTGTTTATGTTGGTCTATGTACGTTGGTTCTTGGGCGAGCATTTAATTAAACAAATTGCCAGCAGCAGCAGTAGCAGCAGCGTTGACAAGTTCAGTAAACAGGAAGGAAGGGTCGATGGAGACTGAGGATGGGCGGGGAAAGGATCAACTTTACGAAACATTCAGAAGTCAAATGCCACAGCTGATGGCGTTGATGAGGCGAGCACACACTAGTGCCCCACCCACACCGATGTCCTGTGGCATCCGGACAAGGGGAACTCTATTCTGGAAGGACTCTGTCAGCCGCTTTCGACACTTGCATGGTAATTACTTTCCGCATGCCTTGTTTTGGCCAGACAATCACAAACTTTCGCCAGGCGAAAACGAGTTTTTCTACAACACCGAAAAAGGCATTTTACACAGAAATAATAATTGCGAAAACTTTCCTGAAAAACATTCTCCGGCAGTCCAGTTGACCGGGTGTTGATTGAATTCCACACAAACTTTGTTGGCCAGATTGAATGAATAAAGTTGCCGGGATTCCATTCTTTCTAAATTTTTAAGTGAGCACTTTATGCTCTCTTTTCAGTGGATATATATTTCGCTTACATTATGCAACGCAGCGGGAAAAATGCTCAGCAGCAGAAATGAATATGCATTTTATGGAAATTATAATATTCGTTGATGTATGTGCATTCGAAATACGCATAAAGACTGCAACTCTTTAAAGAAAAACGGGAGAATGGCGATAAAGGTGGGAATTAAATCATAACCCGCCTTGGAATAAAACACATTTATGTATTCTTTTAATTTATTACATTTTTATTTAAGAACACAATTAAAATATAGACTTTTAAATTCCTTAAATTTGGCACTTCAATTTCTTTTTTAAATACACTTTTATAAAAAGTCACCACATCAGTTTTTGTCATATGAAAACCACCTCTCGAATAGGCTTGCAATACTGGCACCGAGCTGTTCAAAGAACCCTGTGGCCACACTTTTCACAGCTGGACCTAGGATCTTCATAGCATACTTGCTTTTTCGTCCACCTTGACTTGGCACTCCATCGATTAAAAGTTCCTCCGTGTGGGGTTTAATCAAATTATCGAGTCGATCCCTATCTTCAGGACTTAAACTGGGAGACATGCGTCTATATATGTTAAGTAACTCCTGAATCCTGTTGATTTTGGTATTGTCGTCGTAAGAGGATTGCATAATTTGAGCAACTCTAAGTCTATCAGCCTGACGTTCTTGGTCACTATACGCCGAGCACATTGGACCCAATAATAGCAGTGCAAGGCACCTAAATAAGTGTGTAAATGGGGAAAAAATTATAAAGTTATTGTTAAACAAATGTTGAGTTGTACTTACACCGTGTAAATTGGAAAATTCATTTTTATTAGACTTTATGGAACGCTAGCACAAACCGAAGTGACAATATTGCAGCCACGAAGCTGAATATATAGCAATAAAGCTGATTGGGAAAGACTTATACATATATAATCGATGAGATTTACTTATTGGAGTGCGCTTTAAATAAAAAAGCGATAAGCGAAAGTGCGATTTATAAATGTTATTCCGTGATGGTTCAGAATGAAGCATTGAACCGGTCGAAAATCTTTTAAATCCCACTATCCATATGCTCTACATGGAATCGCCTTCAAAAAATAATTTTCAAAAAATATATAAAAATGTTTAAGTGGATAAAAAATAATACAAATTAAAAGTTTCATTTGCTCACAATAGAATATTTTATTTGAAACTATATGTTAAACATTTTTAAATTTTGAAATAACATTTTTGCATGCACAAAAAATATAGAAATCAACCACGTTAGTATTGTTGAGATTAACCAGTGAATAATCTGGCAAGATTTGCGCCGAGCTCTTCAAAGAATCCAGTCGCCACGCCCTTTACAATTGGAGAAAGGACCTTTCCAGCGTACTTGGTTTTACGGCCGCCTTGACTCGGAACTCCATCGACTAGAATCTCTTCCGTATGCTCCTTAATGAGGTTCTCAATTTTTTCCCTTTCCTCAGGCGACAAAGTCGGATTTAAACGCCTATAGATGTCAAGTAAGTCCTGAGTTCTACTGATCTTGGTATCGTCGTCCTGGGAGGTTCGGATAATCTCAGCAACTTTGAGACGATCGGCTTCTTGTTCCTCTTCAGTATAGCCGAAGCACAAAGGGCTAATCAGGAGCAGTGCAAAGCACCTAATAAAATGTTCACAATTATAAATTAATTTGTTACAACTAAAAATGTGGTATTACTTACATTAGGGAGATTGAGGAATTCATGTTCATATGTTATGACTTTAGGGAACGCTGGAGCAAACCGAACTGATAGTCCAGCATCTCAGAAGCTTATTTTATAGCCCAGCGTAGGGTGAAAGTGAAAGTGAACACTGCTGAATTGACAAGTATTAACAAATCAGTAAAAGCCCCTTTTAAGTCACTCTTGCAAAATTCATAAGAATAAAATTGCAAACTTGCAAATCAATGTTCTCAGGAATTCTCCTTATCAATGCGAAGTATCAAATCATTTGAATGCTTGTAATATTCCTACAAAACAAACACAACTGATAAGGCTGAATGTTCGTTTATAACCCTTAAGTTCTGATGAATTTATTTTCTATTTCACATTTAAATGGAAATTGATAAGACAGTGTACAGATTAAACGTTTTCCGTTTAATTTCTGTTATCTCAAAACGACGTTATTTCGGTCCAATAATTGTTACACTGAAAAAAAACAACCGCAGTCAATCATTAAAGTTGTATAGCCATGACAAAATAATAACATTTAACACAGTTCAGTTTAAATTATAGTAAAAAGTTACTTTGCAGATTGTGTCAGTGTCGAAAGTAAAAATGCCTAAAATAAAATATCAACTTATTCCAACAGACGAACAAAAGTGCGTCGAAAAAAAGCCTAGGAAGTTCTTAATGAAAGGGGCTTTCTTTTTCATGGGGCTCTTGATCATAGCTTTTTATAACTTAAGGTCTACGGGTAATGAAAGTAAAAATAGAACCCAAAGTCTTGTGAAAATGAATGAGATAACAGAACAAGTAGGGTCCAGCCCATTTGAAAGAGGAATTACGAGCTTCGCAGCGAAAATGTCAATCATTAAGGAGGGAAAAACTACTGGGCCTCTAGAGGCTTTCACTAAAAGTTATTTTTCGCAGAGTTCCGACGAATTGGGAACAAACACTTCAACTGCAATAGATTCCGAGCCGGAAGTAAAATACTTTGTGAACAGCCCAAACTGTCGAATGCCCTATCCGAATCCCTTCGCCCCTGACATCCTAAAGATCTACAAAAAGCAGGCTTATAAAGTGTGTGATAAGAATCGAGACCTGATCACAGTGATCTTCAACGAAACGGACAGCACCTACAGGCTGCACCAGAACGAGAACTGTACCTGCTGCTTCAGGCAGATCCTTCCACCAGGAGTTTTGGACAAGTCGGATAACAAGTTCAAGTAAGTTCCAATGGGCTTCCAAAAATGGACACTCAAGCTGAATATTCCGGCAGGCTGCATTATTGCGTGAAATTCCCTCAGGACTTCTTAGTCCCGACTAACGTGACAGCCATGATCACCTACTGCCGCCGGCCGCCCTATGATAAATTGTCGCAGAAAGATGCCTTTGGCTTTGTGCATCCTCGAGAAGATTCCATCGAATACAATGAAACATCTTCTGGAAGAAGGCCTAGCGTTTTGCTCTGGGGCATCGATTCCATGTCCCGAATGACCCTAGAGCTGACAATGCCACGCATGTACGAGTATTTAAACGCACAACACTGGTTCGAGCTTCAAGGTTACAATAAGGTATTTAAATAAATAAATGCAATGCAAATCAGGAAAATAAACAAATTTAAATCAATACAAATGCGCAGAAAACAGGTTAAATGTACAAGAAATATATACTATGCTTTTTTCTTATCTTAAATATTTAAAAGACAATAGAAACTATTATTTTGTTAACTAAATCACCATACATCCCCTCTTTTCTTTCGTTTATAAGTCTTATTTCAGCCCAGGTATTTATAAATAGATTTAAGTAGTATTTTTATGATTCATTTTTCGAAATATTTATAAAATCTATAAATTTCTAAAAATCTGAAAAAGAATATATTTTTTATCACTTTTTTGCAGATGGGCATAAACACATTTCCAAATCTGATGGCGGTGCTAACTGGTTTCAATGAAAGCTACGCAAAGAAGCAATGTCGTCCTGATAAGGCTGGTGGTCTCGACGTTTGCCCTCTGATCTGGAAGGACTTCAAGGACAAGGGATACACAACTGCCTTCGCCGAGGACTGGTCCTTGCACTCCACTTTCAATTGGAAAAAGGTGGGCTTTCTCCGGCCCCCGACGGATGTCTATGGCAGACCCCTGATCCTTGCTGCCGAAAAGATGATACAGAAGGCGCATTACTCGGAAATTCCCTTCTGCTTGGGTCGCAAACCTGCTGCCGAGTACGTCTACGACCTGGCCGTCCAGTTTTCCAGGGTCAATCGAAACAGTACTTTCTTCGGGTTGTTCTGGACAAACACCTTTAGCCACAATGACTTTTCTATGCCATCCGCCATGGATGAGAAGATGGTAAAGTACATGCGGACGTTGGAAAAAAACGGGATAATGGATAACACCATCATCATATTCTTCAGCGATCATGGAACCAGAATCGGACCATTGAGGGAATTGGATATCGGTTTTGTGGAGGAACGACTGCCCTTTATGTACATCCATCTACCTGCTTGGATTCGTGAGAAGTATCCAAAATTTGTGCAAAACCTTCAGTTGAACAGAAATCGTCTCACATCCCCATATGATATCTATGCCACACTAAGGCACATCTTGGAGTTGGACACTTCCCCCGAGGAACTTCATCGTCCAGAGGGATGTCCCACATGCCACAGCGTTTTCCAGGAGATAGACTGGTCCAGGAACTGCCACAAAGCAGGGATCCAGAGGTACTGGTGCGCTTGTATCAGGTTCACCGATGTGTCTAAAACGGATCACTTGGTCAAGACAATGGCAAATCAGCTAGTCGATGAAATCAATGAGTTTTTGATGAACTCGGGGGAAGCAGAACGGTGTCGCCAACTAAGACTAGATCGAATATCTTCAGTTCGTCGAGATGGTACCTCGAATATTTATGAAATCAAGATTTATGTCCTGCCTAGAATCGCGTGCTTTTTGGCCGAGGTAGAATGGAATCCCAAGGATCAAAGTATCGCAATCTGGGTGCCAAGCATTAGCCGGGTAGATATTTATGCCAATTCGACAGCCTGCACGAAAGTTAAAGCGGTCGAAAAGTTTTGCATCTGTTGAGCTGTATGTCTATATATCCATGATTTTACTGAGGTTACGCATAAATTAAAAATAATAATTAATTATAAACAAACACTGAATTAAGTTGGTTGGGTTTAATCCTATGCCAAGAAGATTTGGCTTCCAACAATTTAAAAACTGGATTGGCACTAAACATTTCAAAGAAACTTTTAGCTCTCAAATTTAGATTTTAATTAAAAAGTAAAATGAAATAAATACATTAAAAAAGAGATGAGATTCCCGTGCACTTTACCCACATGGATAAAAAGCAAGCTAAATGAGGAGAGTAAGGCTATTTATTTTAAGAACCGCCACGGCTAATTGAAACATTTAAACTCAAACAACTGCGCACGGATACTGGGAATATCCCTTGACACTTTTGCAGGATCTGGTGCCAATTGCTCTGATAATACATTTTTAATAGACTCTCAACCGTTGTCGGCACTTGTGAGCTGGAATTACGCAATCAGGAGGCAGGAGGACAAGGACACGGAGCCAGATGTTTTGTGCAGGTACGACAATCGCGATGTAGCTAGATGTAGCTGTTAGCCCGTTTAAAATTTCCAACCGACTGGCGAAATGGTGGGCGGACTTTTGAGAGGTGTTAAATCCCCGGTAAGGCAATGCGGCATTAGCGAGTGCTAATTGCCTAAATCTATCCCACATGGCCCACACAAGCTGCCAATTTGTAGGCCGGCTCTTTAATTAGCTGGCTAACAGCCTGTCGACAAATCACTGTGGGCGGCTGTTCAGGTAGTGACGAGGCGCACTTGGAGAAACATAAAAATAAAAAGCTAAGGATATGTGGTATATGTCGTTGAAAAGGTGTATTGGAATACTGTGAATAGTCTTAATACCATCGTTTAAAAAGTATTGGCAATCATTTTTTTATCGGCATTCGGCACGCTTCATCGAAATCGTACAGCTAATTGCCTATACATGTACTACGGCGTAGAGAATGAGGAAAATTTAGAAAAAGTATTCGTAACGAAAGTTACGCTGATGGTGCGATCGTCACTAGTTTGTTTCTCTCGTTAAGATGCGATTTTGTTTGACAAATGAAAACGGCAACAATGTCTGCCGTTTTAAATTCAGGTTCAGGTTCAAGTTCAGCCCTTGGAATTTGTGTCAACAGTATTCGCATAATGTGGCCAAAAGGAAGAGACATTGCATCTACTTAGGTATCTGATTCAAGGATCCAAGGGTCGGCGCAGTGCAGTCCCTTGCATTTTTAATCAACACCCCCGTCCCATGGAAAACATCAAAAGTGCGTGGCATGAATAAATTAAAACGATTTTCGGGCTACATACATTTCTCCTCCAACAAGATTTATTAACTCCCAAACTCCAAAAAAAAGAAGTCTCGAGAGCTGATGATGATGATTATGCCCCTTCCCCCAGTAATTTTCCGATTTCCCAATTTTCGTCTGCCGCCAAAGATTGTTGCATATCAAATGGCGCCTAAGTGCTGGGCGTGCGCCTCCAAACAAATCAAATCAGAATCGAAGCGCGGTGCTTTTCGGCTTTTTACGGCCCCGTCCCCTTCTCCATATATTTAAATTCAATTTTATATTAGCGGCACTCACTTTCGCCTTTATTACCAATGGAATGGCTTACAAAGTGGATTTGAGGGGGCGCCCATAAAAGCGGGCCAAAGCGAAAGTATAAGCCAGTAACGAGACGCCTTCGAGCTGAGGATTTGAGGGCGTGTACCCGAGGGCTTCAGCCACATCCATTCATTCAGCGAAGGCATCCAAGCAGCTGACATAGTATTAAATAGCGTCCTTACAAATTTGTTGCATATGCCACTCCTACTCCAATGCGTCACACGTCCTTGCCACCAGACATGTGACATCATTGCCTGTCGAATGCTCTAAAAACACTAATAGAGTGTCCTTGGTGTGTACCAAAAAATAAAGTGCAGGACAAATGCGAAAGTGCTCTCCCTAAAAGCTGTTCGAGTGGCTTTTTGTGCGCGTTTTAATTGGCAATAGTCCGCTCAAGGCATAAAAACAAGACCGTTGAAGATAAAAAACTTTTAATTAGGTAGCATGGTAAATTAAATAATCAGGCAAAGCATAAATTATGGGTTAGGTTTTATTAAAAGGATTTAATTGAAATTTTCACAACTCTTTAGCTACCGTTTAACCATATTTACAAACTAATTAAACGGATAACTACAAAGCGAATTTTGTATTCAGAGCTATAAAAAGTGAAAATTATTATTTTTCTGGTTTACCCAAAGCCTTTTGTCTGAGCGGTAAAGTTCTAAACAAAAAATAATAATGGCAAGGAACAAACAAAAATGGAATGCCAAGCCAAATTCTTTGTGCAAAATATGGAGAATTCTATGTGAAACTACACATCAGTAAGTAAAGCCGGGCATTTACATACATTATTTTAAGCTTGGCAGGGAAAATGCACTGCATTTGCCTGGCCAACGGCAACAGTTTTCCACTTCCCCATTTTCTTTTTGGTATTTCGCTTTCATCTCTCGTTGCTTGTGACTCCCTCAAAAACCGAATGGAACGAGCAAGATGACTAACTGCCCCAAAAATGTATTTACATTCATGCACAATGCGAAAATATTTTCGAGGTCCCCTTGACCCTGGAATGCTATGGCTCCGGGCATAACCTTCACATGTGGGTATATCTCACTTTGCATTATTAAAATTATTTAGCCTACGAGTCAGACATGACGGGCCAACCTTGTCAGCATTTCCATAAGCATTGGGATAATAAAACCAGCCCAAAGGCCAAATTGATGGGGGCCAGACGACTGACAGACAGATGGGGAGTGAGAAGAAAGTCAAAAAGTCAGATGCCTCTTCGACTTTATCCATCACGCTTAGTGTCTGCCAAAAAGGGGAATCAAAATGCAATCTCATGCTCAAGACAGTACTGGAACAAAGGAGTCACGAAACCAAAGCATGCCTGAAGCCAAAAATAACTGTAGACCCTCTGTTATAGCATTATTCCAAATAAATATTAAGTATTTGTAAGCTTGTTTTCAAATAATGCTGCTGTTTAACAAGGATTCGATAAAATTTTCTATAATATTAAATATTAATGTTTAATAATACTGACTTATAAGCCTGTTACTTAAAGAATTTAAGTAGTTATTTCATAAATAAGATATATAAACTATATATTTTTTTAAAGGGTAGTTACTTTTATAATTACACTTTCTGTCTTATCAAAGTTCGCCTATATTTTTGAGCCCTGACTGATGCTAATAATATGCTGCATACTTTCGGGAGCACCTGCTTCAAAAGTGCTTTCGCCATTTAATTTGAAATAATTACCGCTGAAAGCTAAGAGCCAACTAGGTCCGCCCCTTATGTGTGGGTGTGCAATTTATAGGTGTGCGTACGTGGGAAAATTTGTTGGCCATGTGCGCGTTATGTTGAAATTAATGAGCCAGACCATTGCTCTACTTCATTGCCACAGCGAAGGAAGCACGAAAAAGAGTGCGAGCAGGAGGGCTGCTAGAGCAGAACGAGAGGGGAGACAGATGGTGATGAAGTCGCACAGACAAAAGCGGAAACAAGCACAACCAGCAGCTTCCGGCCAATGTAAATAAGGCACTAACCGAAAACCCACTGGCAAAGATATGCATGATTACACACACAGGCACCGCGACACGGACACAACTGCAGATACAGGAAGAAAGACTGTCACACACATGTGCTAGCACACTGAAAACATTTTTGGAATTGTTTCGGGAGCCATAAACATCACTTCAGGTTTGGAACCATTTTAAATAGTGACTATATTTACGAATGTTGTGAATAACATACATGTTCTTTCTGGATTTTTTCTCTAGTCTTAAAATTAACCATAGCATAGTTTTGAACACCTTATAAAGATGTTCCAAGCTTCTACAGATTTCTGTTCCATTGTCCATATTATAAGACTATGGGGTTTACGTATCTTTTGGAATCACTTGTAGACGGTAATATTGTATTTTAAATTTCTATTCTACTTCGAATAACTGCAGCTTATATAACTTCTTCATTTAGCTTAAGGTTTGTTGAGAAAAATGTTGAAGTCTCATTTATGATATACTATATGATATACTATATGATATACTATATGATATATTATATGATATATGATATGATTTACGATATGATATAGGAATTTGTTGTTTTTTATTCAGGACATATACCTAGATATCATTTTTTTCCAGTGTTGTTGGACCTGGCGCATCTGACTGAACCAACTCATTTGCCAGGCAACAGAGCTTGATGATATTTGGCGCGAGTTGCTACTATTTTCCCGCAACGACAACATTCTGTATTTATGGCCGCACACACATGCATAATGTATGTGTGTGCGATTGTGGGTATATTAAGCGGCAGAACCGTTGTTGTGTGTTATTAATGGCCCTTTGCCTTTGTTTGTTAAATTGTTAATACCCTCACATTTACGCGCCTGCACTTCAAGTCGCCATTCGCCATTCGCATGCATTTCCCCATCAGTGCCGCTTTGCATTATCCTTGCACTTTAAGCTCAACGCGGTCAACGGCATAATGAGCTCTCTGTTTTATTTATGCCGCTCTTCCGCTGGCTGCTTCCTTTGTGCCGTTTAATCCTTTTCCTCTTCGGCATGTTAAAGGACCTTTCGAGGGCGGGGCGGCTCCTTGATTAAGAATGGGGTTTCAGCTTTTCGGCAAGCCACCACGCGAAAGGAAAATTCTGAATAATAAACGCTTTCGATGGCATTCAACTTAGCCTTGCTTCTTAATTTTAAGTCCAAAATAAAAGGATTATATGTTTAAATATAATAAGCTGGGTGCTATAATTGCATGAATGAATTTAAATATACTTCAGTAGTTTTAACGCAATTTAAAGCTCATTATTTTGAAAATCGGCTAACTTTTAATAAGATTATAAGATGCGTTCTTAAAACAAAATGGAAAAATGGTTCGGTAAAGCTTATTTAAGAGGAAGAAGTGGTTTTTTTTATAACACGTTGGTTATTATTTAAGTCATATATATTATTATTGTATTATCATACATATTATTAAAGATCGAAATCAATCGAAACAACTTTTTTAACCCAGTACCCCAAGTATTTTAAGGATCCTTTAACATCTATAGGAAATTCATATACCATTTCATTTCTTCAAGTGCATTATATTTGATATATTGCTAAAACAAATTTACAGAAAATATTTGAGCCAGTAACTCATTCGAATCACCAAACAGATGCTTCCAACTTTGTGGAACCTCAGTTACCATGTTTCAAGTTCCTATTACGATAAAAGCTTATCAAGCACATTGTTGGCAAGCAGTTTTTATCCCGCAGCAGATTACCATGGTTTCCCACCAACGACCTTCAGGATGGAAAGCTCATCTATCGAATGGCGTGGCAACCCCTATAAGTCAGCTCTCGCAGCATCCACTGCGCAGCTGTTGGAACTGTCAGCCGGCTTTTGGATGCTGGACCACCCACCCCACTATCGGCAACAAAAACACCCCACCTCGTCGGGCGATTCCGCAACAGGATAAAAGAAGGCACATCAAACACACGCAGCTCAGTGGATGTCACATCCTCACAGAAAGCGGTTAAGCGGAATTTCGGAAAAAATCAAAACATAAAACCGAGAAAAATCAGAAAACACACAGCGGGATTGCCGCCAAGTGAAAATGATAAATATCTGCTAGATACGTAAATCAGCCGAGTGACAAGTGATTGATATTGATATAGTGGGGCAATCAAGTGAAACCGGAAGCTGCCATCTCAAGCGATTTCAAGATGCGGTCAAGACGGGTTTTGGTCCTGCCGCTAATGCTGCTGCTACAATTAACTTTGAACTGCCGAGAAGCTCAATCACTGCCCGATATCATCAAGATAGGTGAGTAAAAGATGGGAACTCGAATGAAATAGAGAAGAAACTCAAGGGACTCCGACAAAAACCAGATGAAAACAAATTCCAGCTCGCATCTTCGTTACTTATCGATTTTTTACACGTCATAATCAAGAACGGCTTTCAGTGTACGAGTTTGTGTATTTGATAGACGCGGGTGTGTTGGTGTTTTGTTTGTTTGTTTTTATTTTGGGCACCGCGGGAGTGGAGCCCAAAAATATTTGATACACTTGAGCCTTGTGCCCAAGACCAACTAGAATCACGTTCTGTAATTTGTCACCGCAGGAGGGCTCTTCCATCCCGCCGACGACCACCAGGAGCTGGCCTTCCGCCAGGCCGTGGACCGCATCAATGCCGACCGATCCATCCTGCCGCGCTCCAAACTGGTGGCCCAAATCGAGCGCATCTCGCCCTTCGACAGCTTCCACGCCGGAAAAAGGGGTGAGTTCAGTGCAAAGAGGGCACACTGTACAGGTGTTGACTTGGCCTGGTTTCCCACTGTCCCACTGTTCCGTCACCTTTCACCCTTTCACCCTGTTGCCTTTGCCTTTGGCTTAGCCTCCTGCTCAGCGTAAACTTCACCTTCACCTGATGCTTTTACCTGCATATTTGATTTGGACATATGTACACACATCTCTTTTTTTTTGTCGTATCCTCTTTGAGTTCCCTTGTCATCCTTGAATTGACATATCTTTGTTTCTATTTTGGCTTGAGCTTGATTTACCCCTTTGTTTGCTCTTTGCATTTGATTTGCGATTTATGGTATGCTAATTGCTGCCTGGGGGACTGGAATCTGTTTTAGCTTCTGAACTGACAATAAATGTGATTTGTCATTTGATGGCATTTGTATCATCAGAACAGTTTAAAAAAGATTATAACCTTTTTAATTTCATTTTGAAAAGCGTAGTGTTTAAAAATAAATTAAAAATATTTTGAAAACCATTAATAAGAATAGAAACCAATTTAAAAAAGCATATTCCTAGATAGATAGATAGATATTCCTAATAATAATAGAATAGAACAGATAAGAGTAATATACGGGTTTATTGTTAATTAAATAGATTTTAAAAGTTTGTTAAAGAAGTCATTTGTGTCTTCAAATGATTTAAACTGAATTATACATATAAAATTCGGTATATATTGGTTCCTCTTGTAACTAAGAGTTCACAATTCAAAAGAGAAAAGCAATTAAATAGGTACTATTAATCATAGTTTCATCATTATCAGACAAGAATGGTAAAAAAAAAAGGTAAACTTGATTCCTATTACACTGTGGGAAAATAGCAAAAATAACCTCAAAAGGTAATTGGAAAAAACCAGGTGAAACCAATAGGTTGTCCCTTTGAAATTCAACCAGATAAATATCTCGATGTGTAAGCCCGGCCAGTCTGCCATTTTCAGTTTATTGTGGCTATTTGGGCAGCAGGTGAAACTCCTCTGGCACTTGATAATCGTTAAAAGCTGAAGATGAATCGTAAAGCGGCAAAGGTACGTGAGCCAACTGTCGAATGTTCTGTGATAAATGAGACACAAATGACGCCGAAGTTGGCCCGAGAACAGGGCCAAAAGGAAAAATACCTTGGCCAAAGGAGAGTAAACCACACTTCAGCACGACGGTAACGAGGCAACGAGGTAGACAGTATCCTCCACCTACACATCCGTCCACAAAGTCCTGGGAGCAGGTTAACCGCATCACAGAGCCAGGACATCGAAGTGCAGGTGCACATGCACTTACACGTGCTTAGCGCGTTTGATGAGCCAAAAAGGATGCCGGCTGACTTTCGGAATGGTGCAAATCCTGCTAAAAGGAAGGGCCAAACGGGCTAAACGAAATTATGTCATACTGAAGTGCATTTTAAATATGCGAACGAGGCTAACTGAACATTACTGAGCCAAAAGCCAAGCACATTACTGCGCTACTTGGGCGCATTTTTACTTTTTGAGCCTTTCAAGTCGCAGCCTCACCAGATTATCTCCCCCACAAGCAGATTGGATTGGGATTCGGAATGGGAATGGTAACAGAGCACGTTACTTGAAAATCAATTTGCGTCTTTTAAGCTCTTTGGGATTTGTGTTTCACCCAATTTGCCATAAGGCAAGAATGTCAGAAGTTACTCCTTGCCATTGGCGGACCTCGCATATATTTTACAGCGGTTGGGTTTGATTTTGCTAAAATTGGGTTCGAAAAACTACACACATAAGTTCGTCAAAGAGCTACAAATAACTGGGTACACATAAACCTCAATTGCACTGTTTGTCTTGCAGTTTGTGGCTTACTGAACATCGGTGTGGCAGCCATTTTTGGGCCACAATCCTCCCACACCGCCAGCCATGTGCAGAGCATTTGCGACAACATGGAAGTGAGTACTGGGTCCTGAGATATCTCCCCCCTACAAACCTTTGAATAACACACTCGTTTTTAGATTCCCCACTTGGAGAATCGCTGGGACTACCGGCTGAGACGCGAAAGCTGCCTGGTGAATCTTTATCCGCACCCTAATACGCTCTCCAAGGTAGGCACCTGCAATTGCATCCCCCAAACCCCCCGTAAAACTGTTTTCTGTTGCTCTTAGGCTTACGTGGATATCGTGCGACACTGGGGCTGGAAGACTTTCACCATTATCTACGAGAACAATGACGGCATCGTGAGGCTGCAGGAGCTACTCAAGGCCCACGGGATGACGCCGTTTCCCATTACTGTGCGCCAGCTGAGCGACAGCGGGGATTACCGGTAAGCCCAGCTAATCGTTTCCACCGGTTCCGACTTTTTGGGGAATTAAGCATTTTTTGGCCCACATATGCGACACATTTTCGGAAAGCTGATTGTTCTGATATGGCTTTAAAATTGAAGTATCAACTAATTAAAATTATGTAGTTATTGTAATAATACCTATAACATACCCTGGATATTCCCAATTTCAAGATTATTATAGATATTTAACTAACATAAAAATAAGTTGCGATTTTTTTTTAATCGGTTTAAAACTCTAGCTTTGCTATTGGGCGTTGCTTATTAAAAGATTATATTTCAAAGCTCAAAAGTTTTGACTGAAATTTAATTTTAAATAGATTTACACACATATATACCCACCGTCCAAATACTCATTAGGATGAGAATGATACATTAACGTATTATTTGACAAAATAGATCATGTATACCAACGTTAAGAGCATCTACTCGTACATTCAATACTTTGTTGCTAAAATATGCTAAACTTTATATTATAAGCTAAATTAATATTCTAACAATAAATTTTAATCCTGAATTTTTACTCACCCTTACAGTCCCCTGCTGAAGCAGATCAAAAACTCGGCGGAGGCGCACATTGTGCTCGACTGCTCCACGGAGCGCATCCACGAGGTGCTGAAGCAAGCGCAGCAGATTGGCATGATGAGCGACTATCACAGCTACCTGGTGACCTCACTGGATCTTCACACAGTCAACCTGGATGAGTTCCGGTATGGCGGCACCAATATCACTGGATTCCGGCTGATCAACGAGAAGATCGTATCGGATGTGGTGCGCCAATGGAGCATCGACGAGAAGGGTCTGCTGCGATCCGCCAACCTGACCACCGTGCGCTCCGAAACGGCCCTCATGTACGATGCAGTGCATCTGTTCGCCAAGGCGCTGCACGACCTGGACACCTCCCAGCAGATCGACATCCATCCGATCAGCTGCGATGGTCAGAGCACCTGGCAGCACGGCTTCAGTCTGATCAACTACATGAAGATCGTCGAGATGAAGGGCCTGACCAATGTGATTAAGTTCGATCACCAGGGCTTCCGCACGGACTTTATGCTGGACATTGTGGAGCTGACACCGGCGGGCATTCGGAAGATCGGCACCTGGAACTCCACGCTGCCGGATGGCATCAACTTTACTCGGACCTTTAGCCAAAAGCAGCAGGAAATCGAGGCCAATCTAAAGAATAAAACGTTGGTGGTCACCACCATATTGGTAAGGATAAAAGTGTTTATTATTATTTGTAAGATACTTACTTAATAGTTGTATAATTCACAGAGTAATCCCTACTGCATGCGCAAGGAGTCGGCTATTCCTCTAAGTGGCAATGATCAGTTTGAAGGCTATGCAGTGGATCTGATCCATGAGATCTCAAAATCTCTGGGCTTCAACTATAAAATACAATTAGTACCAGATGGCAGCTATGGAAGTCTTAATAAACTGACGGGGTAGGACTATAAATATTACTTTTAATATATTTTTAATAAAACCTTACCTTTTTAGCGAATGGAACGGCATGATCCGGGAGTTACTGGAGCAGCGTGCCGACTTAGCTATAGCAGATCTCACCATCACCTTTGAGCGAGAGCAGGCGGTGGACTTCACCACACCGTTTATGAACTTGGGTGTGTCCATATTGTACCGGAAACCCATTAAGCAGCCACCCAACTTGTTCTCCTTCCTGTCTCCTCTATCCTTGGACGTGTGGATCTACATGGCCACTGCCTATTTGGGTGTCTCTGTGCTCCTGTTCATCCTGGCTAAGTTGGTTAAGTACATTCTATCATGATTCTCCCATCTAATAATGTACTTTATAAAGATTCACTCCATACGAATGGCCTGCCTATACGGATGCCCATGGCGAGAAGGTCGAGAGTCAGTTCACCCTGCTCAATTGCATGTGGTTTGCCATAGGATCGCTGATGCAGCAGGGCTGTGATTTCCTGCCCAAGTAAAGTTTTTATCTGAGATTACGTTAGACCCTTTTAAACTATATATTAAACTATTTCCCAGGGCTCTATCCACCCGCATGGTGGCTGGCATTTGGTGGTTCTTCACCCTGATCATGATTTCATCGTACACTGCCAATTTGGCCGCCTTTTTGACTGTCGAGCGTATGGACTCACCCATCGAAAGTGCCGAGGATTTGGCCAAACAAACGAGAATCAAATACGGCGCCTTGAAGGGCGGCAGCACAGCTGCTTTCTTCAGGGTAAGTTAAGAAAGTAATAATCTACTTATACCTTGTGTAAAAGCCAAAGTATCAACATTGATTTGGACCAAGAAATGAAATCCCCGCTAATACGGTATAAAACTATTTCTTTATAGGACTCTAAGATCTCCACATATCAGCGCATGTGGTCTTTCATGGAATCAGCTCGTCCCTCTGTCTTCACAGCCAGCAATGGCGAAGGAGTTGAGCGGGTGGCCAAGGGAAAAGGTGGGTCAGCTAATTTCTTAAAGAACCTGACTTAATAATATTGAATTTTTCAGGATCATATGCCTTTCTAATGGAGTCCACATCCATTGAATATGTGACCGAGCGCAACTGCGAGCTGACGCAAGTTGGTGGAATGCTGGACACCAAGAGTTATGGCATAGCCACTCCGCCCAGTAAGTTTGGCATCACACTGATCAGATCCCTAACCAACTGATGATCTATTCCGTCCACAGATTCCCCCTATAGAACCGCCATTAACAGCGTGATACTCAAGCTGCAGGAGGAGGGCAAGCTGCACATCCTGAAAACGAAGTGGTGGAAGGAAAAGCGCGGCGGTGGCAAGTGCCGCGTGGAGACCTCCAAATCCTCATCGGCGGCCAATGAACTTGGACTGGCCAATGTCGGGGGCGTCTTTGTGGTCCTCATGGGCGGCATGGGCGTAGCCTGCGTCATCGCCGTCTGCGAGTTCGTTTGGAAGTCACGCAAGGTCGCCGTGGAGGAGCGCCTAAGTGCGATACTGAATGAATGAGAAAAGTCGTAAACCCGAGACGAATGGGTCTAGACGACGAATAGGTCTCGGGAGATCAATCGAAAAATGCTAGTAAACATGGGAACGTGCAATCCGGTAGAGCATATATCAAGAGCAATAGACGAAATAGCCAATTTTCGACAGCCCAATCAACCTTAGTGTTTACCGGATACTCGATAGTTTTGGGATCAGTGACCATAAATTTGTAGAGTTGAAAATACCGGAGGCACCATTAAAACGTTTTGCGCACCAGTTTGATGGTGGCGTGGAACCAGATATTAACATAGATTCAAGCTACATATGAGAGACATATGCACCCTGAGGCATATATATACATATATATTTATACAGGTTATACTCCCTTTCGTAACTTACTCGTAATAATCATATACATAAACTAAACACTAAAGGAACCACAACCACTTGCAACCAAATCGAAATCGTATTGCATTTATATTTGAAAGCATTTTTGGGAATTGACCTATAGGCGTAATTGTAGCTAAATTATATATAGACATGCATACAACCCAGATAACAAGATCAACGCATTCTTAACCCTAAGAAGCCGGACACAATTTACACAATCGAAAACGGATATTTTCAACGGACCTAGCCAGTAGATCTAACCTAAGTGAGTTGTAATTCATAGCTTAGATATATTAACCCAACTTTCTCCCATTTTCCTCAACACTTCTGTCAGTCCCCCTAAGATATAAGATTGTAAAATGTAATTACCGCTCATACAGGCAATTCTGACGAACAATTACATAAAATACTTACAATTAAATAAAACAAGTTAACAAAAATTGATATCCTTCGATGAACACCTGCGTCTGATTTGACATTCGATGTGCCGGTCGACGCCTAACCGCAAACCGTCAATCACCAGGCTTTTCCACTTTCTCCCCAATCAATTTTTCATGGCTATTGCACACGCGGGTTGCTTTTAATTGGGTTTAGTGTTATCAGCGAGGTAACTTCGTTGCCTTGATGGGATTCGGCTTCTCAGTCGTCATTTGGAAATCCTGGCAATATGCGGTCATCAACTTGCCTTCTGCTCCTTCTTGGAATGCAGCTCTTTATCCTGGTTCCAATCGAGGCCAATGACTTTTCCTCTTTTCTAAGCGCCAACGCTTCGCTGGGTAAGTTTTGGATTTACAAGGAATTTTTCCGCAAAAAATCAACATTCATTGCTTGTCAAGCCGTTGTTGTGGATCAAGAATATATGACCATGCGTGGGGAGAACATAATGGCCCATGTCGAGAAGATCCTGAGCGACATAATACGGGAGAATCTGAGAAACGGTGGTATAAATGTAAAATATTTCACCTGGAACGCAGTGCGACTGAAGAAAGGTGAGGTTTTTAGCTATTATAATAGTTGGGTGGTTAATCTGATGTACTGCAGATTTTTTGGCCGCCATTACGGTGACGGATTGCGAGAATACCTGGAAGTTTTACAAGAACACCCAGGAGAACTCCATTCTGTTGATTGCCATCACAGATTCCGACTGTCCTCGACTGCCGCTAAATCGTGCTCTGATGGTATGAAATACGTTCGATCCTGGATAAAATTTGTACGGTCATTATCAATTACTAGATACCCATCGTTGAGAATGGCGATGAATTTCCTCAAGTCATTCTAGACATCAAAGTCCAGCAGATTCTTAACTGGAAAACAGCTGTGGTGTTTGTGGATCAAACCATATGTGGGTGGTCTACATTAAAACTCATTTCAATGATTCGTTAATATTTTCTATTTATGGAAAAGTGGATGATAACTCGGTCCTGGTGAAATCGATTGTGCACGAGAGCAGCACCAACCACATCTCTCCCATCTCTCTGATCCTCTACAAAATTAATGATTCCCTCCGAGGCCAACAGAAGCGAGCTGCCCTTCGTCGAGCTCTGGCGCAATTCGCTCCCAACAAGCACGAAGAGATGCGCCAGCAGTTCCTAGTGGTATCCGCCTTCCACGAGGACATTATCGAAATAGGCGAAACTCTGAACATGTTCCACGTGGGCAACCAGTGGATGTTCTTTGTGCTGGACAAGGACCCGCGGAACTTTGACCCCGACGCAGTGACCATAAATCTGGACGAGGGCGCCAACATAGCCTTCGCCCTCAACGAAACCAGTCCCGACTGTCAGTACACACTAAACTGCACCATTAATGAAGTAAGTCTCGCCCTGGTGACCTCCATATCCAGGATGACCGTCGAAGAGGAGTTCATATACGGCGAGATCTCCGACGAGGAGTGGGAGTCCATTCGCTTCACCAAACAGGAGAAGCAGGCCGAGATCTTGGACTACATGAAAGTAAGTATTTTAACTGAGAAAGGGGTACTTTGCTACTAACAACATAGCATAAATGAATAAACTTAACCTTTATGGAACTTATGTTACGGCATCATCTTTAAATTAATCCTTAAGTACCCTATTCCCATACCCTATTCTTGCATAAATACCTTTTCAATACTTCATGTCCTTATTTCCATTTGATCAGGAATATCTAAAGGCCAACTCCAAGTGCTCCAGCTGCGCAAGATGGCGCATAGAAACTGCCATTACTTGGGGCAAAAGTCAGGAGCATCGCAAGTTCCGTACAGGTTTGAGCAGGATTTCTTCTCTTAAATCAATCCCACTCACAGACTGGATTTCTATAGATCCCACACGTGATGCTAAGAACCGAAACTTCGAGTTCATCAACATTGGCTACTGGAGTCCCATGCTGGGATTCGTCTGCCAGGAACTGGCCTTCCCGCACATAGAGCACCACTTCCGCAACATCACCATGGACATTGTGACCGTTCACGTGAGTCTTTGAGCCAGGAATATATTTCTTATTATTGGTTCAAATCGCTCGTAGAAACCTCCCTGGCAAATTCTCACCAAGAATAGCAATGGGGCCATCGTGAAGCATTCGGGCATAGTCATGGAGATCATCAAGGAGCTCAGTCGGGCCCTGAATTTCAGCTACTACCTTCATGAAGCCGCCGCATTGAAAGAAGACTATTTCCTTAGCTCGTCAACAAGCACCAATGAAAGCGTGAGACTCCCCACATTTTTATTTGGTACTCCTTCTGCAATCTCTTGTTTGCAGGATGAGTTGATTGGTTCGATGACTTTTCGGATTCCCTACCGCGTAGTGGAGATGGTGCAGAACAATCAGTTCTTCATCGCCGCCGTGGCAGCCACCGTGGAAGATCCCGACCAGAAGCCCTTCAACTATACCATTCCCATCAGTGTGCAGAAGTACTCCTTCATCACCCGCAAGCCGGATGAGGTTTCCCGAATTTATCTGTTTACTGCTCCCTTCACCATGGAGACTTGGCTCTGCCTGGTGGGCATCATCCTGCTGACGGCTCCCATGCTGTATGCCATCAATCGTCTCACTCCCCTAAAGGAGATGCAAATCGCAGGCTTGTCCACGATTAAGAGCTGCTTTTGGTACATATTTGGGGCCTTGTTGCAACAGGGTAAGTGCTTAAATTGGCTGTGATTCGGTATCTTTAGAATTAATTATAACCTAGTATTTGGTAAGACAGAAAATAAATCATAAATTAAATTAAGTTTAGAACATTTCTAAACACATCACATACTTTTCTCTAATTCGCCATTAAAGATTTATTTAATGATTAGTTTGTTTCCCGTTTTGCAGGAGGCATGTATTTGCCGAAAGCCGATAGTGGCCGACTGGTGGTGGGCTTCTGGTGGATTGTGGTAATCGTCCTGGTTACCACCTACTGCGGCAACCTGGTGGCCTTTCTCACCTTCCCCAAGTTCCAGCCGGGCGTTGACTATCTTAACCAACTGGAGCGCCACAAGGATATATCACAGTACGGCCTGCGAAACGGCACCTTCTTCGAGCGGTACGTGCAGACGACCTCTCGCGAGGACTTCAAGCACTACTTGTCACAAGCCAAGATCTACGGCAATGGCCAGGAAGAGGACATCGAGGCGGTCAAACAAGGTCAGCGCATCAACATCGACTGGCGGATCAACCTGCAGCTGATTGTGCAGCAGCATTTCGAACGCAACAAGGAGTGCCACTTTGCTTTGGGCAAGGAGAGCTTCGTGGACGAGCAGATTGCCCTGATTGTGCCGGCGCAGAGTGCGTACCTGCATCTGGTGAACCGCCACATCAACAGCATGTTCCGGATGGGCTTCATAGAGCGCTGGCACCAGATGAATCTGCCCAGTGCGAACAAGTGCAGTGGGAAGGGCGCCCAACGGCAGGTGACAAACCACAAGGTGAACATGGACGACATGCAGGGTTGCTTCCTGGTCCTGCTCCTGGGCTTTACGGTGGCTTTTGTAAGCGGCTGCTTTGAATTGGGTTACCGTCGATTCCGAGCCAGTCGCAAACGGCGCGAGTTCACTAACTGACCTTTAGAAAATGTGGTTTGAATAGTTAGGAGTTCAATACTGGTGGTCCTTCTATTTACATGGAGTTTATAAAACTTAAGTAACTTTCTGCAGTCAAGGCAAGTGCTTTCCAAACATCTCTAAAACTCGACGTATTATAATCTAGCGTTTTATCACAACTTTTAAATAAATTAAAAGAGCCATAACTATAAATAAGTAAATTATAGTTATTTTCTTTCGCTCATAAACTTGTTGTTTACCCAATATTATTAGGAAGTCAATAAAAATGCTATCACAAATCTGGAACTACTGTAAACCAGTTAAACGCAAATCAATTTCAAACATTTCGAAGTGTGACTGCCAAAATTAAAATTTTTTGGAAAAACTGCGGCTGATGCTGGACACCTAGATGGAGATTCCAACTGACCACATAAAATGGGCAACATACGGGGTTTGTTTAAAGGTTTGAAATTACTTTATGAACATCATATCAATCTGGAGTTAAAGTTAGACACTTGTTCAACCGAAACTCTCTATGTGGAGTTGGCGTTGGGGCCGCGACGACGGCCGAAGCCCTGGACGAAGTTCACGAACCGACGGTTGTACTGGATCCTGCGCTTGGCGCGTCCGGTCTTCTTCTTCTTCTTCTCCTGCTTCTCCACCTTGGGCGTCTGACCCTTGACCTTTCCGGCACGAGCCAAAGAACCGTGAACCTTACCTCCCAGCATGGGAATGTTGAGGTCCAGCTCGAAGGAGCTGAGAGCAGTCACGGGCGTATCGTTGGCCATGGTGGTGCCCTCGCAGTCGAGGCTGAAGTCCTCGGCGTTGACGCCATGGATCTGGGCCAGTTGGTTCTGCAGGGCGCGAATGGAGACCAGAAATAGATTAGGATCGGCCCTGAACACAAGCTTTTTTTGGAACTCACCTTGACTCCGGCGATGGTGGCATCCTGGGAAACCTCCAGGGCCTCGATGGTCTCTAGTCCACGGACGAACAGCTGCATGTTGATTCGCTCTGCAAGACAACCATACCCCATGCATTTATTAGTTTTCATATTGGCTTGGCACACGTGTTTCCCGTGTGCTATTTGGAACACAATTTTTTGGTTTTATCACTTCATTTCCAAGGGGTACTTGGTGCCCCGCACACTTGGCCATCGCCCGTACACGCATTCCACAGGTATTTTCGTATTATTTTGATCATTTTCTACTATATTTCGACAAAAATCGCTGGATTACCTCTTGACTTGGTGTGCGGATCCCGAAAAAGAAAGATGGCGCGAGTGTGACCGCAGCTGAAGCAAATATACTATTTATATACTAAAAATATACCATAAACTGTTTGATTGAACGTCTGGCAGCGCCGACGTGGAAAAGATGGCAGCTCTGCTAAATCAAGTGTGACCAGTCGTGACCAAATTCTTGTCGATTGGTATATTTTTCAAAGCTGGTATTTTATAACTGTCACTTCGAGTTTAAGCATCCAGCCAAATGTCGTTTCTTTGTAATAAATCTTTAAATAAATATTACGTCGTATTAGCTCGATCTTTCTACTCCAATCTTTAATCTCGAGGATGGAAATAAATATTCAAATTTCTTTTTATAATTTAAAAAAATATAAATTATGTAAAATAGCCAAGTTTTTTTTTAAATAACATATACTACTTTGGCAGTTTATGGTTTTTTACTAGTTTATAATTAATTCTTAGACCATTAATTTGCATTAGCCCAAGACATCCTAGCTTGTTTTCATTGAATATGCAATTGTTGAGTCTTGTGCTCCTTTCTACAAAAAGGATGGCAAAAGGCCAGTCTGGATGACGCCCCATTAAGCTAGCATACCCCGATTACCTCAATCTATGTAAAAATGGGAATTACCTTAAGCCCGCCACTAGTCCTCCCGCGCCCGTCTTGACCCAGTTTTTGTGGGCCTCTCTGAAATTCTCCTTTTAAATGCGCATGCGCCTGCGCTTGTCCTTTGTTTAATCCGCAGAGGAAAAGACACAAGAATGAACCCAACAGGGCTATGGGCTGTGTGTTATTCTACGCCATTAGAATAAATATTGCCGCATTGTTTGTCAAACAGGACTAGATTAGTAACATAAACATTCCGTCATAGAATGCAAATCATAAGCCGATTTGACAAATTTGGACGAATTATCTGCGTCTAATGAGTGCGGCTTAGATTGTTCCGGAGCCTATGAGGGTCTGGACATTAGAAAAGAGATTTTTGAAAATTTTTAAAGGATATATATATACGTACATGTGATCGATATAGAATTGCAAATTGAAGTAGTACTGTGATAGTAGGTACGACATTTGATATTATATTCAACCCTTCGAGGGTGACCACCTTTCGATGCTCATTTAAGATAACTAAATGGCACATGCTATCCTCGATCCCCTCTTCCTGTTGTCCACTTCGGTCGGAATATCCCAGCTATCCCCAACTCATATGATCGGATTAGCTTAGGATCAGGGGCAGACATCTCCTAGATTTGCGTAAACTAATTTTCCAGACCTTGTGGCAGAATCAGGACTTGGGAAGCGCATCCGCAACCATATCCCCTTCTCTCTGAAGGAACTGCCGCTTTGTAATCTGATATTTTAGCATGTTTGCAAACAAAGGCAGCGGAAAAACAAATTACTCTTGACCATAAAACAACGGCAACAATTGCAAAATCGGCTTAGCCAGCCCTCATTCTTCCTTTCGCCATTTGCTGTTTTTCCGGCACGCGTATTTCCTCATTTTCATTCACCTTTTTGAGAATATTTTCCCATATGGGTTCGATTTTTGGCCACACATCATAACATATTATCATATCTGTGGGGTCGGCTGTCTTTGATCTCATTATCCGAATCCAACGTTCCCGTGTGAAACGAATCCACTGAAGTCAACCAGTTTCCGCAATGAAATATTAAATTACTTAATCCATATTCAATTTGCATCAGGTGAAATTGATATGTAGTAAGTGGATTGTAATAGTTTGGTTATAGAAAAACAAAATGTTATTTAATGTAGTACAAAATTGAAAGCTAGTTTCAGTTTAGGGTTGATGAACAGTAACATCACAAACAAAATTGTAACAAAACTATTTTTCTGTGTGGCTTAACTTTTTTATGGGTAAAATTATATCTTTTGGCAACATTTTTTATAGTTTGGATCCGATTTAACAATTAAATCGGTGGTTTTAAACAGTTTTGCTTTTGTGAGATCTCTGCGTGTATACGGACAGAAAGATAGATAAACATAGGCTAGATTTAAATTAATATTTTTCCTTTGAAGTGTTCATTTAACCGACATTCATAAAATATTTATTACCATAAGTAGTTAATATGCTTAATTTATTTTAAAAAAGATATTTTTTGCACTAAAATTTTTTTATGAACTTAGAATTTAAAATAATTATCCTTTATATAAACAATAAAAATCCTAGTAAATTCTCTTTATCAATTTCCAGTGCATTAAATTGTATCTTCCGTTGGTTTTTAAATCAAGATTTCATCATTACCATTTGTATCTTCTTTTTATTTCATTATTTAGATTTTATAACGCGTAATAATCATAAAATAAAAACTATAGTCGTATGTAGTTAGTCCCAGCTTTTTAATCTAAAAACCAATAAAACCCCAATAAATTTCAAACAATGCAGCCTTTTAAAATTTAATATTTTGATGTTTTTATTGTATACATAATTATGATTAACCTATAATAACTTAAATATATTTACAGAAAGCCACTAAATTCGGTGAGTTAACCCGTGAGAAGTTACACAGTAACAGCCAAGGTGGAATAGATAGCATAGATCGTCTTCCAGCTTAAGCCACAACGAGCATTTCCGGTTCCGGACTGGAGGCATTCGACGAGAAGGTGGAGTCGCAGCTCTCGTCCTTTTCGCGTTTCTCCCGTCGCTCGCGGGCTCTTCGATTCTGGAACCAGATCTTGACGCGCGTGTTGGTCAGCTCCAGGGATTCGGCCAGTTTGTTGGCATCCTCGGCGCTCAGATAGTTGGACTCCTTGTAGGCACCCTCCAAGGCCTGCAGTTGCTGCGGGGTGAAGGGGATGCGGGGTAGGCGACCGGGAGTCCTTTTGGCGGGTCCACTTTGGCGCAGGGCTCTCGGCAGCTTGGGCGGATGATAGCGGGTGTATTGCAGCCAATCGTAAACAGGAATCTTACCCTCCGCCGAAGCTGGAGGAGATCCTTGAGGCTCCTTGGGGGAATACGATGGTTGGGCATACGTTGGTTGGGCATACGGATGGAAGGGTAAGCTGCCACGCAGCCGCTGCAGGACACCCAAAGAGGCATTGGTGCCCACATATCTGTCGCCGGCACGGTTCAAAATATACTCGATGCTAAAGTCAGTCATCCTCGTGCCGATCCTTTCGCTTTGTCGGTCAATGTGCTACTGCTGAGTTCGCTGCGCATCCACGAGCTATTTATCCAAGGACCTCCCATCGCCGCCATTTGCATCGCCGGCAGATATTATGGCCATCCCTGTCTGGCAGGACGATGAGATTGGCCTGGCCCAATACAAATCTCATTCGGAAGCAGCGAGCCGTTTAATAGGCGTTTCCCATCTCCATCTCCGACCAGGTAGAAGTCCTTCGCCTCAATTATATTACCCTTATCAGCGGGCGAGATTAGGCCCATGAAGGCAATAAAGCACACGAGTTCAATTGTCTCTGACTCCCCATCAAATTTTCCCTGTGATTCAGCTTCTGTTTAATACTAATAGCTGTACACCCTGATTTTAAAAGAAGTAATATTATAATTTCCAGGTTTTTCGGGATGGTAATTATGTTTAAATAAATCAAGATACCAATGGTTCAACTTCTGCGTCTTTATTTACATTAACTATTTTATCTTATATTAAGTGTTATATCTTTAAAATGGTTTATTGCCGGGGTTCTGTTAAACTTATTTTATAACTGTGTACAGCTTTAAATCTATATATATAGTATTGTAATATAACCTAAAAAACTAGTAGATTTATAAAAACACATTTTTTGGTGTCTGTAGAACATTTGATCTTCGGTGTTTTGCAGCTTTGCCGAGCCTAACACAATTTTGATAGTTTTTGATTTGTTGTGGCTATCGTTGGCGTTATACAGGGTGGTTCCCTTTCCATCTCATCCGCAGCCATGTTTTCCCGCGAACCCTCCCATCCTATCAGATCCCATTCCATTCCAT